CCTGTGGGGGAAGGAAGAGAGAGCAGCCGGCAGTAGATCTTGAAAGCTGAAGGAAATGGGTTGCTGATTTTGGTGGATCTAGAAAAGTAAAATAAAAAAAATGAAGAAAAGAAGCCGGTAGTGACTGGGAGAAGCTTAAAGGTTAAAAGATGGGTAGAAATAAAGGAAACAAAGGAAGAAAGAACAGTCGGCGGTGAAGTTGGCCCGTGAAAGTTGAAGAAGGTAAAGTAAAATTAATTTTTTAATTTTCAAAGAATCCTTGCTTTTGGGATTTGTTTTTGAAAATTAAAAGATTTTTACTTAAAAGGGGAGGATCAGCTGCCTTCTTTCACAGCCTCTGCAGATGAAGCCGCTGAAGAAATCAAGAACATGAGAGAAGAATGGAGTACTTGGCAAAACAACCTTTGTTGATTTTTCTTTTATGTATCTCCTTTGCTTTTTGCTAGTTGAACTTGCACATTGTCATGTTTGAACCTCAACAGGATCTGTTGGGGCAGCAGGACTGAGGGAAACATCTTCTGTTTTATCAGGTTGAGTCTCGGTTTCTATGGTAGAAGTGGACCCCAAGGGAGAGGCAGACTTGATGAGTTTCTTGGCTGTAGATGGTTTCACTGTTGACCTCTTGATTCTTAAAAGAAAAAAAAAAGGGAAGGAAAAGAAGGTTAGCAAAGAGTATTTCACCAAGTTGCAAGCCAAAGCAGATTTACCTCCAATTCTTTGCTGCTTGGAGGGGGTATACTCCTCTGAAGAATTGGCTGAAATGGTAACCTTCCTCTTGGTTTGAATTCTGGTAGTACTCCCTCGCAGATTTGGTTTTTTAGGATGGATGGTCAAGGTAAATTCCAGATTACCACTTTCCTCTGCAACACCCAAAGTGGCCCACCACTACTACCTAGACGGTAGGTCGTGACATCCTAGCAGCTTCTATACAGATAAGCAAGCAAAAAGGGACCCAAAGCAAAATGCTTACCATGTGCTAATGCAACGGCTAATGGAATAACTTTAGTGGGACCCTTTCCAACAGAACAAACCATGTACTTACAGATTAATACAAGCAGAAATGAAATGTGTTTCTGAGCGCTCACAGGCTTACTTTTGTCACAAGCAAATCTCACGAAGGCCGGATAAGAAGGCTTCATGTCTGTGGAGTTGTACTCAACACCTGGTGGCAATGTGAGAAGTGCTGAAATTTCCTCTCCTGTGCAAGGTAACCCGGTCAATGAACTGATGTCAAAAAGGCTCACAGACATGGCTCCACGAGGAAAATGAAAGCAATTAAAAGAGCCAGACCAAAACAACAAAGCCGAACCCAAGACCGGCTTAATCATGGTAAATCTGCATGTGGTTAATTGTATAAATTCAAACAGACTCACATCCCTCCAGATCTAGCCGAAGGCGGGTTCAAGACGATTCACCCAATCAACCCATTCTGATCTCCTCCAAGCCGGCCAAGTCCCAAAATGCCCAACCCAGTTGTTCCAATCCGGTTTCACTTGGAAAGGGAGGAGGTGTTCTTTCGGTTGTGGGTAAAGGAATTTGAGTGAAAGGGGTGGAGGAGAAATGAAACATGGACCCAAAAATTTGAGAGTTCATGTGGGGAACAAATATTTGATCTGAATGGCTTGTTTTATGGTGTTGAAGAATTTGTTTGATTTCATTTTGGAGGTCTTTGGTT